CAGTTCTGCCCTGAAAAACCAAAACAGGCTTTTTACTGCTTGTTAGCGAATTTATGTAGCATATTCATGCTAGCATAGTAATTATAATTTTGTTAATGTGTTGAGACTGTGCCAGACACGACTGGAGAGTCTTCATAAATTTTACCTCCTTTCCATATGTTTGATCATTCTGATGTTTATTTTACTGCTTAACTAAACTGCCATTTTTTAAGTAACAGGAAGAAATTTATTGATAATTGTGGTAGATCTATTTCTTTGTTTTTACCATCACCTGTTAAAAATACGTAGGGCCTTAGTCATAAAGGCCCGGAGACCAATCATGGGGGGGAAATGAGTATTCCTCAGCTGGGTGCGAGTGGTTCCTGGAGGTTGCTGGCTAAAGCTCCTGGTCAGTGCCCCTGTTAACCACCAGTTGCTAAGGAGAAGTGTTTATTCTGTGACCAGTTGGTGAGTGGTTACTGGCAGCTGCTAGTGTGAAGTTGACTGGATACAGTGCTGCCCAGAAAAACCTCCTTATGATTGCTTTGGTCACTAGCATGTTGCCACAGTCTCCAGTAGTTGGCATGGAAAAAAGACTCACAGAAAGTTGTTTATTACTGCTGCAACCAGCGCATTTCTAAAAGTACAACATTTATTTTTTAATTAAACTCCCCCCGTTTCCAGATTGTGTCACACTTTATCAAGTTTCACTGCAGTTCGGAGAGTAAAAAGCGAGTCGGCATCTTCCATGCAAACTACTGGCAAGTGTAGAAATTTGCTGGAAACCAAAGCAAACACAAGGAGGTTTCTGGTGCGGCAGCCTCTTTGCAATCTTACCAACTGATTAGGTAATACCCATTTTTCCCTAGCAACCAGGCACGCTAGGGGGTCACCAATAGGTCTCTAGGTCTAATCACAAGGTCTTTGGGTCTCAAGTTGAATGAGTGTATATATGAGCAGGATTTCAGGTCATGTTTTAAAACATGTTTATGGTCCTATGTGAAGCTTAATCACGTGCTATGTAGACAGTAAACGCAGACTGAGAAATGACTTTTCATTGAAGCTGGAGGCGGCTTGTGTCTCATATTGTTGAAAAAGAAACATTGTTTGCATATTAATAGATTCTTTTCAATCAGGGTCAAGGCAAAAATTATCACACAGTACAGTATATTTATTTATTTATTTATTTAAATTTGAAGTAGTCTATAGAATAAGGCTCTGCAGTGTGGTAAAACAAAAAAAAACCTGGCAAAAGATATGCAGTGGAAACTGTATCTGTGCTTTGCTTCTCCATCTGTTGGGACCACAAAGCAGCCTCGTGTCCGTGTGCTTGCGTAAATCAGCACTGCGTCTCTCTGACGTCACAGGTTGCGTGTCACCTACTACGACACTACTGTTATTACCCAGCAGCCAACCGTGCATTTTACAGTTCTGTGAATGGGTCACGTCACACTGCCACCACTGCTGCTCAGTTCCCCTTGGTGTCTCCTTTCCCTGCAGGGGGGGTGGAAGAGAAGAGTAGGAGGGCTGAGAGACAGTGATGGGTGGAGGAAAAGCGTAGGGTTGGTTGTTGGATGAGTGACTGATTGGAGGGATAAAAAGAAAGTGACATCGCCGTTTACCCCGGGGAGGTTTTAGATTGTCGGTTTCCTGACCATTAGGTGAGGTCGTTGGCATGCGACACATTTACTTAATGTGTAGTAAGTCACTGGGAGTAGCTGGATCAATCTTCACTCCCTGTCTCGTGACTGGCTGTGACTTTCTATATATAGTCTCTAACATGAGGGAAAGCTTGCGCACATCTTCCCTCCATCAATGCACTTAAGTGCCGTCTCCTCGTCTTGCAGCCATCAAAGCACAATAGTGACTGACTTTGCTCTCCACTTTCAAAGTGTCTGGGGGGGATTCATCGTACACTGACAGCAGCCAATGCTGTGCTGGGCAGCAGCAAGCACAGCAACGCTGCTCCACTTACTCAAAACAGCCACCAAGATCTCATTCTTATTCCGTCAGTTTCTCATGCAGATCCCCAGACACTGCTTCACTTTGTTGTTATTCATCCATTTCTGTTGGCTCTTACTTTCTAGCCTCCCTTAATCTTTAAGTCAAATAAGTCAATAGTTATTGGATACATGCAGGTTCATAGGGAGAAAATTACATAGGGCTGAAATTACATCTAGTTTGCCCCACCCAAAGTCACAAGGCTTGTTCTGTCCTGATGGGCAAATAGTGTTTAAATTCTCACGTAATTTTACAGGTGATGATCTGGTTAAAGGGATTTTTAAAGGACACTGCACATTTCTTTCTTTAACACCAACACAAATAACAGTTTTCATGTTGAATTGATGGGAACAAATTGAAGTGAATGAATTATATAGGTTTTATATTTAATGTGACAAGGCTCTTCTACATTGCAAGTCATTCCTTGTAGTTGTGTACATTATTAAGCTTTATGGGTCACATCCGCATCCAGAAAAGCAGTTGTGTAAGAGAGTATGTATACTTTGCTTGTGTATGAATCCTGAGTGTTAAACAGAATACTGCTTTCTGCTTAATCTCCCACAATTTGCAGTGTTTTGCTACAGTTCATAATAACACCCTCCGCATTGTAGTGAAAAATCGAGCGTCAGTTCTGTAGACAGCAGGTGAGAAACGCGAAAGAGACATTTCAGCCTGTAAATGCAAGATTATGGAAAACCCAGCAAAACTTTCCTCGCTCATGCCAAACCTGGGGCAGATGGGAAGAGTAATAATCTTCTAATTCTCTCTGTGGTGAAAGAATAATGGGCAAAATCCTGTAGAGGCACCAAACCTGTGACTGGACCATTATGCACAGCTGTTATTCTGTGCTAATTATTTTGAGCTGACACACCAACTAGATCTTGATTAAAAATGAAAAAGAAAACTCTTTGATTTTGTCCCAATCTTTGTCAGTTTTATCAGCTGAGACACGTCAGCATGTGCTCAGAGTCAAGCACATGTAGATGTGGGCTCGTATTTTTTTTAATAATTCTACATAAAACACGGCCTGTCTTTGTTTTCCTTTTGTAATCGGTCAGCTCGCTGAATTCGTGCGTCTGGGAACGCACAGCAATCACATGCACTTGCCTATATATAACACCCCAGGTGTAAAGTAGTTCAGGATGTAATTAGCCGGCCTGTTTGATCGGCAGCAGTGCCACTACAGCTGTGACTCATGAGCGAATGCACGAACCACATATAAATTACTCCAGCTTCTTTTTTTCCCCACATTTGAAAAACACACTCATCCATTTTATTGGATTGTTTTGTTCCTGATCCCTTTCAGTTTTTGATCCTGAGGTCTGGCAGGAGAAAGAATTTGTTGCGTGATTAAGAACAGGAAGTTACACACACCTGATAAGCCAGGCATGGGCAGGTACCTGTCACCAGCTGAAGGAGAATTTCATGCTGAGGGAAAATTAATGACAGGAAATGTATCTGGCTGCTGGATTTCATATGTGTCTGTGTGTGTATGTAGCTGTCAGAATATTGAGCTCTTTCACTAGTGAGATCATAAAAGACTTTGCTACGATGACTCATAAAGCACCAATCTTCAGAAAGTCTTACACTGCATAAACTGCTGCCACAGGCTTAGCCTTATAAACCTGCCGGCTCTGTCTGTCACAGATCATCCCTCTGCATCACCCCCCACCACCGGCAGGGAAAAACACGTCTCACTTTTGCTCGCATAATAAGAGATAATTCAGCTCCTCGCAGTCCACATCACTAAAGATGTGATCAGCACAGGATACGCAAGCGTGGTGGGGTACAGCGTTATTCCCGCTCAAGGAAAGATTTCATCGACTGACCTTAGCTTTCATGATTTCTTCAGTCACGCATCATGACATTCCCTGAAAGCATTTTTCCTCCCTCAGTCCATCCTCTGAGGGCTGTGTCTGGCCTCGTTGTGTCAGACTGCTGCCCCCTCAAGGCGCCCGGATGCATCACAGATCGGTCCCGATGGTGGCAGAGCTGGAAATGTTAGAGCGAGGGGACGGGAGTTATTTCTGTATTTATACCTCGTGCCATGTCTGAGGCTATAAATGCAAACGCTTGCAGCTTGTTGGGCACCCGTACTTATTTTATCTCTATCAGCAGACATAATGAGACATGATGGTGAATTTCGTCAACACTAAACCTGAACTTTAAAAGCAGGAGCTAACCAGAAGCCTTTTTATTCTCATCAGACTTGAAGGCTTTTACATGCTCTAAACTATCCACGGGTATGAGTTTACCTGAGGGTCTCCGATATAACCCAAAAGATGTTTTCCCTCAAATTTAGCTAATTTGCTTCTTCTTTTTTTTCATGAAGAACACTTTGCGCCTTGAAATATCAGGAATAAATGCATTGTATCTTGCTGCAAGTTATATTGCTGTTTGGCAGCAGTCTCTGGAATACCAGATTCATTTCACTGATGATCACTGAGACTGATATTGCACTCATCGTTGACACCCTGTTTTATGTCTTCAGGGTGACAACTTGTGTTTAGATTTCGTGTCATTTCCATCTGAGGAGGGTCAGAGGGCTGGATCTGTTTAGCATGGGCTAGCAAAGAAATCAAAATGTTTGAAGAGCTTATATCCACATACAGGATGCTCCAGCTGCTGAGAGTGGCAGAACGAAGTCATCTACTGAAACAGATGCAGAACAAGATGAAAAAGGGACGACCGTGTCACCCACTGCGGACAAATTTTCCTCTTTTGTCATTGTCTCATATTATCAATAAGAGTGCAATCTCAATTATTAATCAGAGTCAAAATAAAAACAAAATAAAATGATGAATCTTCATTTTAAGCTTGCACTTATGAGAAACCTTTTATTATCTGTGCCTGTACTTTGCTCAGGGCTTTTTTCATATTGTTCAGATTCAGTTATTTAACGTCATCACTGAGAATCACAGAAATTTCTTCGACCTCTTGCACTTGCAGCATTTCACCTTTTCATGATTTGCCGGCCTGATAATTCTTTTTTTTTTTTTTTTGGTTTGTTTGTTTTGCAGAGAGTGAGCGAGAAGGTCGGAGGAGCAGAAGGAACAAAGCTTGATGATGACTTCACTGAAATGGAAAAGGCACGACTGCAGTCACACGTTCACATTATCACCTTGTTGTTCAATAATTTCCAGAAATTATTGCACTTATTATCAAAACTTTGTTGGACTAACATGGACCATTTAAAGAGAACGTTGGTCAAGAATCCACTGATTTCGTTTTCGTACGCTGACGTTACTGTAAAAACTCTAAAGTTGTGGAGACATGTTTCACACATATTTGCACCAACACTGAATTTAAACTAAAAAGCTGCAAGAGAAGTGTGCTTGAAAAGGTCTAATACCTTTGGGATGTTGCACCCACTTTACAGCTCCATGTTACACCTATGAGCAGAGCATGGATGTGTGTTAGTACTTGTTTGCGATGTGAGCTATCTGATATCCTCGTGTAATAATGTTGTTGCAGCTTGTCATTTCTTACTTGTAATTTCTTTCTTTGCCTTGTGTATCTCCTTCCACGTTGTGGTGTGCAGAGGGTGGACACCACAGCTCGAGCGGTGATGGACATCATCACAAAGACCACTGAGTATCTGCAGCCTAACCCAGGTAACATGATGGTTATCCCACAAACTTCAGGATTGGTTTTTGGTGTTGCTGGCTGACCTTTACCTGTGTTACCACTTTTCCAGTGTTATTTCATTCACTAATGGTTAATCCAAAATGCTTATTAGCCTTAATTTCTTCTTGTATTTTGCAACATTAATCTGCAAATTAAACTTCCTGTAAACAATAAACTAATTTTAGCCATTTTAATTACATTTTAGGCTTGTGGATCATGACTGCAGATTTAATTCCTTCAAACGTGAATCCCAGAAGCATTGGATTTCATTAGTTTTCTGTCTCTTTAGCCACAAGAGCAAAGATGAGCATGATGAACTCCATGTCACGCATCCGAGGCCAAGAGAAGGGGCCGGGCTATACCCAGACTGAGGTCATCCTGGGGGAGGCCATGCAGAAGTTTGGCAGGGAGCTCGGAGAGGACTCAAACTTTGGTGAGCTGCAGCACATTAAAAGCTGGTCACAGAAAGTCTGACAAACACTTTTCTTACAGACTCTGCAAGAACAAAGCAGAACGATTTTATTCCTTCAAGGAAAGAAATATCATGAAAAATGTATGAGTCTGTTTTCCAGCCAAGATCCACAGCAGAGTGCCTTTTTTCATGACTGAACATTAAGATGTTTTTCAAAGAGAAGCACCTGTTTTGAAAATCTGCTGTAGGCTCTAATGAGAGAGTTACACTTAAAATCCCCACATTTTTCTGCATCATACACTGAAATCAAAACGCGTGTTCACATGTTATGTGGCGACTAAATACAAAATGTGTGTTGTTTTTGTAGGTCTTGCGCTGATTGATGTTGGAGAAGCCATGCGTGAGCTTGGAGAGGTTAAGGATGCTCTGGACATGGAGGTGAAGCAGAACTTTGTGGATCCTCTGCAGAACCTTCACGACAAAGATCTCAGGGAGATCCAGGTACTCTGACACTGCGGCATGGTGGGGGTGGGGGACTAATGAAAATCATCTCTGGGTCGGGAATTCATATCACCTGTCTGGTTTTTCTCGTTTCAGCACCACCTGAAGAAACTGGAAGGTCGACGTCTAGACTTTGATTATAAAAAGAAACGTCAGGGCAAATTGACGGATGACGAACTCAAACAAGCGCTTGAGAAATTCGATGATTCCAAGGAGGTCGCTGAGCAGAGCATGTTCCACCTGTTGGAGAGTGATGTAAGCACTATGCACTTCCCCAAATTCATCAGCACACATGACATATGTAGTGAATCCCGGTTAGATTTTAGATTTTACCTGGTGGGCTTCACATTAAGTCCTCAATCGTTTTGGCCTAAAGAAAAAATATAAAAAGATTCCTGAAAGATGAGTTTCACAGTCAAAAATACAAAATAAGTTCATTGGATTTGTATGAAACTTTGGTGAAAAGGTTTAAAGTAGAAAGCCTGTTGTATGGATGTGTAGCAGATCTTGTGCTTCTTCTCTGTGCATCAACAGATTGAACAGGTGAGCCAGCTGGCTGCATTGGTTCACGCTCAGGTGGAGTATCACACCCGAGCTGCCGAGATCCTCACACAGCTGACCAGTAAGATCGATGAACGGTCAGTACTGACATTTCACTTTCCCGCTGGGTCTTCTCATGATTTACATGTTTGAAGTGTTATTTAGTGATGCAGCAAAGCCAGAGAAACTGAATCTCTGAGGGATTATTTGGCTTTTTCTAGGATAAAGGATACTTCCACCAAACCAAGGAAAGAGTTTGTCCCAAAACCGCGCACATCTATGGACTTCTCCATCAATTTGAGCCAAAATGGAGGTGTCCACAGTGCTCGCTCTCCAGGTGAGAACTAGAATACAAACTTACTGTTCAGGAAGATGCCCAGAAACTAGTCCTTGTACTATATGTATACTTTCATCTCAATTTTGAGAATCTCGTTAGTCTAATTTTGTCTTCAAGGATAGTTTCTGGGCTACTTTCAAAACTTTTTTTTTCCCCTTCATTTAACCTTTCTCCGTTTTTCATTTTCACTGTAAATTCTCAAATAAAAAACAACACTAACACAGATGAAACAGATTAACTGATAAAACCTTACTCATACCTTTCGCTGATGAATATTTGACTTTGTTCAAATTTTAGGCCACTTACAATCATGTGGAAAACAGAGTTTCACAGGACTGCAGCATCATAAGCAAAAAACTATATACATCATCAGCCCACCTTTATTCACAGCTCTCTGAAAGTCCCACAACAGCATTTCAGTCAGGTTCAGGTCTGGACTGGGCCATTGCAACACTATGCCGCTATTTTTTTCCTTTCTTCTGGAAACCCTTACAAGCAAGCCAGACTTTAGTCCAGTCTTCAGTTGTTCAGTTTTGGGGCCTGCAGAGTCTGAGATGTAGCTCTTGGGGTTTTTGCAGTTTCTCTGAGCATCGGCATGAATTCTCTGGGATGTCCACTCCTGGAAAGATTGTGGTATTGTGTTAACAAACACCCAAATGCTCCAGATCAGCCAGAACTTCTGCTTTTATAGTGGTGGTGGTCCCACTTGGTGACGATCGGTTAAGGAAGTACATTTGATTAGCGTCTGACTGCTACTTATCCTCCGAATTCCTATGGAAGCAGTATGTCTGTACTGTATCTCTGCACAGAGTCCTGTGCAAACGTTCTTTTTGCTGCAGTCAGGTCTGATTGTAGACCCTTAAATGTACTTGGCAGCATTGCTCTATATTGGCACCCACCTGCCCTTTCACATGCATGTGTGTAAAAAAGCCTGGGGTGTGTGGAGAGCAAATGTCTCTGCCCTTTCGTGCGCATACATGGAAATTCAAAGGAGGGAGAGCAACGGCAGGCCTTCATCCCCAGGGTACAGATCAAACCAGACATCAGTGTCAAGAATTATGAAATTGATAAGTCAGACAGGAACTGTTCTTGGATTGTGGGCAGAGCTTGACTTTATGACCTGCTTGCAGTAACGCTCTGCTCGATATATTTCACAATAAAAGGCTCCCGGAAAAGAATACATCTTCATCGCTCCCATTTAAGCTATTTACTATGAAATATAATATACGCAGGATTCTGCTTTTAACAGCAAAGAGGCACAGTAACAACATCAAAGAACGCATGAAAAATGGAGTAGATCTGCTATCAAGATAAAAGAAAATATGCACAATACACAAACAGTTCCATATTTTGTAACTATTTAAACCAGCAGTTCAAAAAGCAGAAGAACAATATGATATTTTTTTTGCTTTTAAATGGCAGCAGCAAATAAAGGAAGTGAAATATATTTGAGAATTTACAGTGCATCTTTTGGTTTCCTAATTTTATCTTTTCCCCTACTGTTTATTTACAGTTTTTAACATGAACTGATCAGAATATTCATCAACAAATGAGAACCAATGAATCCAACTCTGCACTCTTCTCTTTCCCATTATGATTTTTTTTTTTAATTCTTGTAGGTTCGAGGTCTCCAGGTGAGCCAGGTTAAACTTGTGCTTTTTTTTCTACCTTTGTGTGATCATCAGTTCATCATCACCCGTCTTCATTTACACTGGAAACTCAGAACTACTACTTCTTATTTCCTGCACCCCTTCCTTATGTTGTTTCCCTTTTCCGTCTCTGCAGCAAGGTCTCCAGGTGAGACAACAGTGAATCCAGGAGAGATACCACAGTATCTCTTCTTCTTTTTTTGCTTTGTTATACATCTTTTGTTTTTAATTAATATTTTTTTGTGTGAGAGAAACTTGTCAGTTTTAAGTGGATGAAACAAACAGCAGAAAATCACGTGCCGTCCACTTGCCTAACAAAGATTTCTCAACAATGACTTAAAGAACCGCATCGACAGACGAGCATTTGCTGTGTCTGTTTCGTTCTTTTGTGAATTTTCTGACTTGTTTTATTTCCCCCACTCTTTCTTTGTCTGTCTGCTTCTCTCATAGCCTGTAGATAAAAGATGGACACAGTTTTAGGGTTTCATACTTGCATGTTTTTTCCCTCTAATGGCCAGCAGGGGGCAACTCTTCGGTTTGCTAAAAGGAGCCCAGTTTTGTAAAATGTATTTCTCACTTTAACCATTTTTCTAATGGCTTTATAGTCAAAGCCTTTAGTTTAAAGTCACTAGCAGGGTATACTGGGATCGCGTCCTGGTTCTCTTGCTTGTTATGTTTTTCAAAACACAGATGTTGCACAGAGGTTGATGTTGTAAGGGGTTATGTCCATCTTTTGTCTACAGTCTATGGCCTTTCCACCTCTTTTCAAATTGTTGTTTTTCTTCCTGCTCTCTTGTCTACTGACTCGTCATCGCTGTGATCACTGTAATTCCATCAGTTCATCATTTCTCCATCTGAAGATTTGAGTGATAAAATTCTCATCGCACACCCTTCTTCTTTTTCTTTCTCCTTTGCAGCAAGATCTCCAGGTGAGCAAGAGTGACTTGGGAAGAGATGCCACATCTCGCTATCACTCTTATTTTTATCCTTCCATAAATGGACTTTTGAATAAGTGTATTCTTGTCTTTTTGTTTATTTTTTTGTTTTTGTTTGTTTGATTGCAGTGCTAACCCCCGTTTGTTCTCTTTTTTTGAGCTCTTTTTTTCTTTGAAGAGTAATCTGACATTTTTGGAAATGTTCTTGATTGAGTATTTGCTTAGCCTTACATAAGAACATCCCTGTCTGGACACTAAATATAAAGCTATAGCCAACCAACTGACAGACCTTGGTAGCAGCTCATCTTAACAAATTTCACCTGCTGGCACCTGTAAACCTCACTAATATTATTTTACGAGAGTTAATATGAACTTTTTGGAGGTCCTTGTAAACTGCTCAGAGCCAGATAAAACAGATTAAATAATAACACCTTCAACAAATGATGTATTCAGATTCAGAAGACTTTATTTATCCCCAAGGGGCAATCTAGAGACTGACCTTGCCGACCATACATACAATACACAAACATCACATTGGGGAGACAGGTCAGGCTAGGTAGCTGGTCGGTCAGGCGCACGAGCAGCGACCCGGAACCGAACAACAATGGAAAATGCACAACATGGGAAAGACGAGGAGAAAAAAAGAACTCCCCCCAGACTGAGCTCCAACAGGGAGATCAGTTTGAGAACAGCACATAACACATGAATCATCACATCTCACAACACAGAAGACATAAGCTTCAAAGGCGTTTAGAGGGGGTGGGGGGTGAGTGTAAATATATCAGGAAAGTGTTTACAGAGGTCAAGCCAGAAACCTGTTTTCCCATAAACCTCAATAGGGCTTTTCGCAACCACAGCTATCGCCATCTGGTGGCCTTGCCATAGAATGCAGATAAAAAGGACTTCCTGGCTTCGTTCTTCCAACCCTCTGTGGGCCAACTCTTCTTTCAATGTGCTGTTGTCAGATTTTAGTGAGCTCATTACTGCCCCCCTGAGGTTGGAGGCTCAAGGCTGTATAACACTCACTTGTATGTTGCACCTGCACAGGGAAACGATGAGCCAGTTACACGGTCAAAAACAGATGTTAAGAAATGCCACACAGGCTATAACAGAACAACTCTGAACGCTACGCCATAAGGACATTTCCTAAAATATTAAACTGCTCTTTGAAACGCTAATTATATTCGCGGCTACTGATGCTTTGTGTCTCTTTTGCTTTGTCTCCTGCTCTCTTTCCCTCTTTTAGCCAGGTCTCCAGGTGAGCCTTTCACAAGCTTTTCTTGTGGTTATTCTGCCTGTAATCAATGTGTGGAGTCTCATCTCCTTCGCCTGCCTCTCCTAACTCTACTTTTATTTGTTTATCTCTCCGAACCGCTCTCTTCCGCTTCTCCAGCCCCCATGGACCAGCCCTGCTGTCGTGCGCTGTACGATTTTGACCCTGAGAACGAAGGTGAGCTAGGCTTCAAGGAAGGCGATATCATCACCCTTACCAATAAGATCGATGACAACTGGTACGAGGGGATGCTGCAGGGCAACTCGGGCTTCTTTCCCATCAACTACGTGGATATCCTGGTGCCGCTGCCCCACTAGGATGTCTCGACTACCAGCAGTGTCCGAAGCTGCGACACGATAAATCCTGGCCTCCAGTTCCTCCTCCAACTATTCCCAGTAACCTTTTCCTAAACATTCCTACTTATCCACCTGCACTCCGCTTTAAAGGAGTCAAAACGGCAACGAAACAATAACCAATGAAGATGTGAGCGAGAGTGATGATAACTTAAAAGGAAGCACTCTTAAAGAAAGCGAGGGGAGGGGAAAAAAAGAAAACAGCATTTATAGTCTTGTTTCCCCCTTATCCCACGAGTCACCTTCAGGCTTCCGTAGTCATTTTATCCGTTTCCGTCCCGGCTTTTGTCTCGCTTTAGGTTGGCTGTCAGTCCGTCACAAGCTTCTCAGCGCAGGCTTGCAAAATCACACTCTGTATCTCTGTGTTTCGTGAAAACCTTTGCAGTAGATAGAAACTCTTTTTTTCCTCAAACTACCACTACAAAATAATCGGTCCACATGCTTCATGTTTAAGACTGTAGTTCCAGCATGTTTTCAACTGGTTTCATGTTTTTTAAAAAAATGTTTAACTGAATATTTTTGTTTTCAATTTTCCTTTTTTCGACAGTCGTTGCCTCTTTTGACAGTTCTGGGTGAAACTATGTTCCTGTCATGTCCTAAAAAGAATCAGTTTAAATGAGTTTAGACAAAACTAAAGAGATTCATCAAGTAACACAGTATTTTAATGGGTTTTTTTGTGTGCATGTGTTGTAACATATTGGTCATATGTTATACCAAAGTTACTTGTAAAACCTGAATGAAAATGAAACTCCAGCAGGAAGGTATCAGAAAGTCTGTTTGATGGGAACAGGTTTAAGCTTGCAACCTGGAGTTCTTTGGTATTCTATTAGGAGGTGACGCTTTATTAAGTATGTGACACATACCCGAGCCAGTGATTAGTGAAGTGATGACATGATTTTCTAAAAACAGTGAAGTTTAAATTGTTTTGAAGTGATGTAAAGAAAAACTCCGGTGCGTAAGTCTCAGTCCACCGACACGTATTTTATCAGCAGTGTGAAACATGGTTGATGTGTTGTGATATAATGATGTATAAATCTTAACACTTGAGGAAACCATATAATTGTGCAGCTGAAGAAGGCGTAGCTCTTCTTCCTGCATCCCTTACTAGTCCAAGTAGTGTTCTGTAGTTTAGCTTCTGTAAGCCACCAATCATACTAGGCAGGAGTGTTTTAAGGAAAGAGTCCAATGATAGCTTGTTCCTCTTTTTTTTTTGTCTTGGTGGAAATTTTATATATCGGTTAAAATTATGCAAACACAAATAGCTTTTTCTTCACGGTTATACAACCGTATAAACCATACCCCTCTCCCCCCTTTTCCACGTCATGCCCGAGCTTAGAAAAACTAGATGTTGTTGTAGATGTCCAATTTTTTCCAACCTGCGATATGCTCGTATGCAGTATTATGTGAGATCGTTTCCCCATCTTTTGGTGATCTACCGATTAACCAAGAACTCATATCGACCCAGCTGTAGTGCACGTTTTATCACTGAGGTTTTCTTTTCTGCAGAACAGCCTGTGCAGCAGCACTGACTGTTTTTATTCAATTATTTATTTATTTTCACCCATCTTGTAGAAATGTTGCGTGTGTATTTTGGGGGCGGGCGGTTTATTTGGGTTTGCATACTCTTCAAGTAATGCACAGGGATGGGGCTGCAGAGGACCTCTGATGCTGAGGTTTTAACATCTACTGTCTCTGACAGTGTTCAACGTTAAAACAAACATGGACCAATTCACTATGTTCAGCAAATCTATATGGAAAAGAAAACCTATAAGAATGTTTAACGTATTCGTCTTATAAGACATACTATGCTTATGACAGTGGACCTTTCACACGTTTCTCATACAAAATGTTTGCTTGATTTATATTTATTTATTTCAGTTAATCTATGCTTGTATGAGAAACATGCACTGGGGGCGGGGGGGGACTAAGAGTAAGAAACAGCGTAAGACATCTTTATGAGACACAGGATAAATGTAAAACATAAACATTTACTATTTTTTTCTTTGTGTGGAAAATTACAATAAATGATGCAAAATCAGCCGATAACCCATATTTAGTGTATTCTTTTCTTCCAAAGGGAAGCACAATGTTAACAGATGGTATATTTTGTTGGCTGGAGTCTAGCGATACAGTTTTAAAGAGGTATTTATTCTTTTTTTTTTTTAAGACGTAACAAATTCTTCCTTTTTTTTGTCGTTCACTTTTTTAACAATCGTGTGTATCTTTGCCCTCAATGAGGACTGTACAGCTTTTTGTGTTTTGTTTTCACCTCGTGTGTGCGTGTGTGTGTGTGTGTAGTCGCGCATCTACAGTAACGTATCTTATTTTTGTAATTGTGACAGAAGTATACACATACTCTATAGATGTATATATAGTATCTAACCCAGAAGCAATGTGACAGGAGGGATTATGTGCTGCACATGATTGTCTTTGGATTGTTTTTTTGTTTTTTGTTGTTTTTTGGGGGGGGGTCTATATGTGGGGTTTTTTTTTCTTCTTCTGTTCTTGTTTTGTTTGTTTCCTGCACTGGATTCTAAAACTGTACGCTTGATGTAAAGAAAAAAAATGTGTAATTCAGTTCAAATCAGTGTAATTTATTCAAATAAATGCCAAGAAATGGTTATTGGCCTGATGATTTTCCCTTCACAAAACAATCTTTTTGTCCACATCTACACTAAACCTAAGCTCAGTGTGGGATCATGTAACACGAGCTATTTTACCTCGCTACACCTCTCTGTTATTGTCAGTACACGAGGAAGCGGGGTGGCGACTTAGCTCTGCAAATACAAGAAGGTTGATGCATTATTCATTTTCCTGCTGGATTCTTTCATGATGCGCTGTGAGAAGCGGGGGGTGAAATGGGTCAGGTATGAGAATCTTCTTTTGTGTTTTCAAGACGGCTGAAATATTTAAATAACCCTGTTGGTGTAAGGTCATCAAAAGCATGACTGCAGCTTCAAGCATCTTAAAGGCTCCAAAAGATATTAAACACACTGCAAGCATGTGTAAGCTGGGATATACAAAGCAAACTTTTTTAACCCATACAAACAAGGAATTATGTTGTAGAGCAGCCGCTATCAGCAGTACTGGAAAGTAAGTAAATTTGTTCAAGCTTTCAACTTAACTAAATACTTCAACATCGCACTCTTGTAATAATGCTTTTCTCCTGTAATTTAAATGGATATAAATTAATTTATTTAATTTATTTCAGTTTTTTACCTATTAAAAACACATAACTGGAGTGTAAATTATACAATGTTACACATTAAAAAGCCAGCAGTATATTAAGTGGTTAGAAATAGCACTTAGTCCATTTACCATTTCAAATGCTTACATACACAGTAATGTAAGCATTACTGGAGCACACACTAGAACTACAACTGTTTATTCATTAAAGCAAATACCTAATCAGCCAATCACAAGCAAGCAATCCAATGCATGTAAACATGGTCAAGATGACCTGCTGAAATTCAAACTGAGGATCAAGAAAGGGGATTTAAGTGACTTCAGCTGCTGCAGTGTTCTGGGTTAAAAATCTTTGTTGATGAAGAAAGGCCAGACTGCTTCGAGTTGACAGGAACTCAAGCTAGGTATGCAGAAGAGCATCTCTGAATGCATACCAAGCTGATTCTTGAAGCAGATGGGCTACAGCAGCAAAGGATCACACAGGTTGCTACTCCTGTCAACTAAGAAGAGGAAACTGAGGGTACAGTTCACGTGGGATCCCCCAAAACTGACAACAGAAGATTGGGTAAAAAAACCTCTTTGGTCTGATGCAAACAACATGACAGCATGGATCAGTGCTTCGGGCTGCTGGTGATGTGATGATGGGGGGCATTTTCTCAGCACACTTTGAGCCCGTTTGTACCAACTGAACATCCTCCAAAGGCCAACCTGGCTGTTTTTGCTGACCATGCCAGTCTTCTAATGGGTGTCATTATCATTAAATCGAGCAAGATAACAGACCATATCACAAAGCCCAATCATTTCAAACTGGTGTCCTGAACATGACAGTGAACTCAAAGATGACTGCCCTTCCTTGAGCCGGTTTCTTCCTGTTAAAAAGAGGTTTTCTTTCCCATAGTCAGTAGCGGTTTTAGATACGGGCGACACGTATCTAAAACCGCTGTGATCCATCACAGCTGATATAAATGGATAAATTACCTTCTCAACATGTCTTCAGTTCTCCAGAGGCCTGGTAATGAACTAATCATGTGATTCAGGTGTGTTGACCCAGGCTGAGATCTAAAACCTGCAGGGACACCGGCCCTCGTGGACTGGGATTGGGGACCCCTGATATAGAGAGACGAGACGACAAGGCTCCAGTTACAGCAGTGCAAGCAAACAAAAAATATATGTAAGAAGAGTAAGAAAATAAATATACACTTTAGGACCAGGGGTAAAGGGATCAATAACAATTTAAAATTTACAGTTTGATGATTTAAAGTCTCACACACAAGCCATCGAAAGGGGAGGGGGGGCTTGCTGCTTCCAAATAGAGCACATTTCATTTATAATGTTGTAAATCCAAGCCCATTATGTATTCATGATTTGAATCCTGGGTTGTTTGAAATCTCAGAAATGCACCCTAGACAAAGTGAATCTGTGAACTAAGGTGTAGGTGTGTTAGATCATGTTGTGGTGATCCTTGGGTTTAGATGGGTGTTCATACTGGAGTGCAAAATTAAAACCAATGGAAGATGGACAAGAAAAGTTCAAAGCCATCAGGTCCTCAGTTTAGAAAAAGAGAAAAGAAGAGGAGGAGAAATGAGAAAAAGATGCAGGTAAGCAGATGTGTCACTGGATAATGGCAGGTCATCCTGAAACAATCAGAATCAGAATACTTTATTAATCCCTAAGGAAAATATGTGAGTAACAGAAGAAATGGTAAAAATAGCAACAGTAACAGACTAAACTCCAAACAATACATTATGTTACAGATTTTAATATTAATTAGTCATTTTCAGTTGTTGATTTGTGCTGTTCTCATTGTATGACGAATTATGATGGCTGTTTGGTAGCCGTTTGCATATTATGCATACTCTCTCTCTCTCTCTATATGTGTGTGTGTGTGTGTGTGTACAACAATTTTATGTTAATGTACAATCCTTAATATGTTTTGTGTGTGTGTAGAGGGAGTGTTCACACAGGGCGCCAAACTGGCTAGGACCGCCACTGCCCATAGTCACCAAAGTTCTTGCTCATATAGGCAATCATGTGATTGCTGGGGTTTAGTCTGTTGTTGAGTTTTTGCCATGAAGAATTAAGTTAATTCAGTTCTGCAGGCAAAAGGGGGTCCGACCCAGTACTAGCAAAGGTGCACCTAATAAAGCGTCTGGTGTAAAGATTTCTTCGACGGAGACCACCGAGTACTTGTTTAAGCACATTTTGCACAGGCTTTTAGGTTTGTAAGGCCTCAATCTATCATGTATTATGACACTGAACAAATAAAAATTGTAGAAAATTGAGTAACAGAAACACAAATGAGATACCAGATGTGCAACTCCATAAAAAAAACACCAGCAGATCAACTACAAAGAAAGGAGCTGTTACCATTTTATTAGTATTATTGTCATGCTGGTATATTGTAAGTGCTGGTGTTAGTGCTGAATGTTCAATCTCATCAGTGCCACAACAAAAAACATTTTCTCTGCATTAACAAGAGCCAAAATAATCACATCAAACAAAATATGCAATTTGTGGGATTTTTTAATCACCATCAATGTGTGTTGTGGTTTAGTGTTCTGTCTGCTTTGAAGCTGTTTCTACAGAATAAACTTTGATGTGCTGCATAAAAGCAAACTTCGTGGTAGATGGAGGGCAATTTAGTTACCCTCTGATGACTGATATCTTTGTAAGAATGAACGACACATATAACCAGTACCTGTCTCCACTTCAACATGTACTTATTCGTGTTTATTTTTTGAGAAATTACCAAAAGTTTTCAAACTTTAAAGTTCTTTCTATGTTCAGATTCACTGTTTGTATAATGTTTCAGGAAATTACCACTGCACAGTGACTGAAACCATATCCTTCATTAACTGCTTGTCAGACTATCATCTTCATTTCCTCGGACTGTATTAGATGTCTGTCTGTACTTGCTAAAGCTGAAGGCACTGTCCTCTGGTTTATTTATTCTTTATTCAGTTTTCGTTAACAATCCAAAACCTTCATTTTACTTACACATGAAAACAGATACCAGATATAGAAAGCTGGCGCTGTTACCTGAAAAATGACCCTAAATGGTGATTTAGGGTCATCTGCTGGGAGAAAGCATTTTTTCTGTTTATTTCTGTGAACAGGGAAGCAAGTTACAGCATATTTTTTATTTATTGGGACGATCTGGTTCTGCTGCCTGCCCCACGTGTGAAAGAAGGTAGCTGAATATGCAAAACAATCAGATAGGTTGTCTCAGGTTATAACTACACACCAGATAACTCCAGTAAAAACTTTAGGTATTCAACCGTTGTCTCTTACCATGAGTCACTTTGGCTACACCCTCTTTTCAAGAACACAACTTTACCTCTACACCTCGACATGCATGCATATATTAACACACACTGGTCTGCTGGACTCGCTTCAGGGACACCTACAGTACTGTCTCACTGTTTCCTGTCAGCTGTCTTTTGAGCAGCATTAGTGCATGTCGTTTTCAGTGTCACACACCCTGTGGCCTGTCGCTCTGCTGATCACAGCAAATATAGACACAGCCTTTTCTTTGTTTGACATTGTGCAGGAAAGATAATTCCACAATACACAAACCAAAACATACAGTAAGGAGCATTGTCGTATGAGTACAGTTGGATATTGTGGATACAGGGCGTATCCTCTTAAATATTGAACCTTGCCAGTTATCTGTCTGACTCCCACTGACTCCGCTGGACTGTCAGACTCACTAGAAGCAAAGCATCCTCTAGTGGTGATAAACCTAAGGTGCTCTGTGAGGCAAGTTTCTTAGAGGGGAACTGAAGCTTGCTATCTGGTTCAGTTGTATTTGTTATTTTATATCTGAAGTTTAAAACCAAAAAAAAGAAAGGGACAGAGTGGTATGATGTTTATTTGTACTACCTTATAATTTAGGTTTATGGCATGCTTGTGACATTTGACAGTATTCTTATTAGCTCCATTTCATATGTATGATAACAATGTGGCAAAGAAGCGAATAT